GCTTCACAAGTCATTTAGAAGATGTGTAGGAAAGTGCACATCTACTTTTAACTAACTTTTATGAGTTGGCTAGAGTTGAAGCTGACTCTGCCCTTTTAATAGATGCTCCAAAAAAATGACTGTTCTTCATTGCCTCAACACACCATTTTGGGCTAACACATCAGCCAGACTGATGGAATATTTTATGCAGAATTACTGCTTCCTCTGACTCAGTGCTGTAAATGACAATTACGTCTGCAGAGAACACAGTGTCATTCATCTCCCGAGCCGCCTGCACTCATGACTAGAAATGATACGCTTAGGGAGGGGTGTCTTACAACGATATGGATCTACAAAAATGGTGGAATTACTGCTAGAGAAAAACAGAACAAAACCCAAAACACTGAGTATTTGTGCTGTTTGGGGCATGTGGGCAAAAGCCGTTTTTTCATCCGCTCACAAACTGGGGCAATGCATCCTATTCCTGCAGTAACACAGGAGGCTGCTAGGTTTGAAGAACAATGTTCAGATAAATTTTCATTATCTATTTTTAAACTAAGTAAGCAGCTCTCCAGCTTGTTACTTTCTATAAATTACAAATAAAAAGGCAATCTGGAAGACATGACATAGCTAGAATAGTCACGGGAAAAGGGGTAAGTAGGACAACACAGATATTTATTTGCCATCAGTCTCACCTATCTAGGTGAAATAAAAGATAACTCATACAGTCTTATCAGTAAGCTATGAAAGGAAATCAGTAGCACTAATGTCAGTCCATATGGGTATATGAAAAATAGATGTATTGACCCTAGTTTTATTGAACAACACACTTGATAAAAATAAGAAAGCTTATGTAACAGCAGTGTTTATGTAATACTCAGACATTTTGCAGCCATTTTGATTTAGTGCTGCATGCCACTTTTTATGTATCATACTAGTTCAATCAATATGGCCTGTTAATTAATAGAATATTGGTTAGCTGACACTCAAAATGAAACCATAGATGGAGAATTCTAACAAGCAAGCACATTCATATGGGGATTATTTTAGGAATTGCTTTTAGCCATGTGTTTTTTGATGCTTGTTTTAAATGATATCAAAGATTTACAGAGTTATTAATCATAGCTCATAGATGACCCAAAAGATTGGGGATGTAATAAACAACAAAGATAAGTCACTGATGCAGTCCAGATGACTTTGTTTAATAAGTTGGTTGCAAGCAGACAAGTGTTCTGTGGCTAACTATAAAGTAACACATCTGTGAGCAGTGGAGGCAGCCTGTCCTTTTTATCTGTTTATTCAATCTGCCAACCAAATATCAGCACTGAAGAAAAGAAGAGGGAAGACCCCTAAATTTGGGGAGAAACACCTTTCAACAAGATGTTTTCAAAATACTATTCCCTAGAAAACATTACCTCTTACTTTCGGGGAGCCTCCTTCAGCACCACACTTCCAACAGCAAGTGCCCAGGGCGCCGTTCTGCCCGCACAGGCAGTCCCCACGTTAAAGGCTCTTGTGGCTCCGTTCCTGGCCCCACTTATACAAGGCAGGATTAATGGATTAGTGGGTCTCTGAAAGGACATGTGTTTTGTGCTTTCCATGTGCTCATTCTTCTAGGGCCTCCCAAGCTTCACTAATATTGGAGTTAGAGCTCTAAAGAGTCACTCCAGACCATTTCTGAACAGGTCTGTTGATACAGATATAACCAATTTCGCATGGTCTAATCACTAGCCATATTAGGGCAAAGATAGTGCTCCTCTTCCATTTTTTTAATCTTCAGAATTTTGTGTTGTCCTGGAAGAAGAGCAGAAGATGCTAGTGGGGATTTTTATTCTTTTTTTTTTTTTTTTTTTTTTTTTTTTGGCACAGGGATTTGGAGGAAATGAAGGCTGCAGAGTTAACAGTGGTATCAAAGTTAACAGTGAATGAATTTGTGGATATGGTGCTGTGGTCAAAAAGCCTCATGTAGTTCTTGGCTGTGCAAAGAGAAAGCTCTAGAAACTACAGAGATAATTAGTTCTATGTTTGGCACTGCAACAGTTTTTGTTGGAATACTTGGTCCAGTTCTAGTACTTAAGAAGGGTGTTGGTAGACAGAAAAGGTTTAGAGAAGAGCCAGAAAACTAATTGATTCATGTGGCATAGCATGAAAGAAGGAAGGAAGTTTTTCTGTTTGGGGTATCAGACATAAGAAGGGTATTATTGACTGCAGTCCAAAAGTATCTGCAATGAAACAGAAACTTGATGCTTGTGTTTCAGTCTAGCTGACAAAGACATAATACGATCCAATCGCTGGATGGCCAGGATGAACAAAGTCAAACTGGAGTAGAGTGGCACAATTTTCTGTAAATGCTGAGAAGCAGCCAACCATTGGAAGAGTTTGCTGAGAATTCTAATGGATTTTTCCTCCCTGGTGCTTTTATCCTCAAGAGATGTCCATCTTAGAAGATGTGTTCTAACTCAGCTCAGAAATAATCCAGGAAATCTCAGTGACTTCTGTGATGAGACAAACCTGGCCAGGTGTTCACAGAGGATGTTCTAGCCATACCTGTGATGCAGAGCAAGGCATTTTAGGTTCTTCCTTCAACGCTGCTGTGGACTTTCTTCACTTTTCTACCTATGGATGCTAACAATTATGCTGGAGCTTTTGTGCAACTGCAGCAGGCTAAAGGAGGCCAGAATTGTCGATGTGAAGTGCCTGGTACAGCAAGGGAGGCAGCCTGCAGAAAAGCCCGTTCCAAAGATATACAAAGAAGAAAGTCCCCCTGCCACATGGGGACTTTCAGCACTCCCCTTCCTGCCTTTTCCAGGTTCCCAGCAACCATATTGTGAATTAATAATGCATGTGGTGCTTCCCTGCTGTATATAATCTTGTGGCCATCTCCAGAAGGTAGAATTCTGTTCTGGAACAGCCCTAGCCCTAGCTCAGGCATCAACTGACATCACCCTGCGTGATTTTAAATGCTCCAAGGAAGCAGACAGACAGACACCTGATCTTCCGAGTTAGCCAAAATTCACAGTCGAGCTTGGACTCTTGTTTACAAAGTGATATTTAGTCTTTTAAATAAAATGCACAAAAGCAGTTAGTAGCATTCACTTATTATTTGCAACTCATTTCCTCATTACAACATCTAAAATTAATACGATACCATTGCTTAGCTGAAAATATCCTTTCTGTGAGCAATAACGAACGCAAAGCTCCCTTACAATGGGTACTTCAGCCCTCTTGCAGCTTGGGGCAAAACCACATTGGCAGAAGGACAATATCCTGTCTCAGAGGGCTATGAAGCCTCTCTGAACTCGACCTGAATATGAACTTACACAAAAGGGACCTCTGTGCAGTGACAGGAACTTGAAAACAGAATACAATTACGTAAGACGTTTAAAATAAGTTGGGAAGCATGTTTGAGTGAGATCAGCATTCCAAGTAGTCCCTAAAAAGAATCGGATATTTGTATCTCTGTTCAGAGTCTTTTTTTTTTTTTTTTTTTTTTTTTTTTTTTTATACTGACTGATCATCTGAATTTTCTATTAAGCTTCTGCAAGCTGAGAACTTGACGGCAGTCCTTACCAGCTTTTTGGGCAAAGTTGGCCCTGGCACCCTGCATGTATCTAAACTTTGAATGCCTTGCTACTTGATTTAGGAGAGTTGTTTGGGTTATCAACGATATGTTAAAAGATTTGCAGGACAGAAGGGCCCCTGTGTTCTTCTGTGCAGTGCTGAAGAAGCTAATAAACTGCACGGCCTTGAGAGGCCCCCAGAAAGAGGCGTGTGAGCAGTTGGATGCAGGTGTGGGCAGCAGTCACCACGTGTCCCCGCGGCACTGGTGCCAAGGAGCTGCCCTCGCTGCTGCCCTCGCGAGGGGCGGCGCCGGTGCCTGCACTCTGCTCAGCCCAAGTGCTTCCAACCCGGCTGCCAGATGGGGTCACATTGGTATGAGACTGCGCTCCCGCCCAAGGGCCGCTTTTCCCTGTGATGGGCTCACCGTGCTGCCTGCCTGCTCCATGGCGTTTCGCTGGTCACTAAGGTGTCACTGCCTCCTCATCCGTTAAGGAAGCAGATAGTTGCCTGATTATATTTAAATATACTCTGGAAATATACAGCTAAGTGGAGAGTATAATTTCTAGTTAGGCCTTACTTTACAGATCTGAATCTGCGGTGGATTTGGGTCTCACGGTTCCATGCCTGAGGAGGTCCAGTTTGGGATTTTGTACTTCTAAGAGTCATCTTTAACTTGCAGCAAAGTCATAAGAACAGATCTAGCAAAGTGGCCTCTTACCTGCACTCACTCAGCACACTCAGCGTTTGTGCACACAATTACACGGGACTGTAATTTCCCCCTTTCTCATAATTATCTAAAGAAAGGCAGTTTGGCCTGCGAGGAGGCAAAACTTTCTCCATGCTCCTTTCCCCAGCGTCTTGCTCTGTCTCTGAAGCAGCTCTCTTCTCTGAAAGCAGAGTCAGGATCTTGTCTGTGCTCCCGATGAGCTTTCCCTGGGACAGGCACCAAGCCTGTGTCAGTGCAACAGCAGAGTGGCTTGCTGGTGCTAGCAGCAATACAGTTGCTCCAGCGGGCTGAGGGAGCCTCTGGGCGAGGTGCTCTTGCAGGCAGTTCAGCTTCACAGAGCGTCTCGCTTCTGCTACAAAATGGAGAGTCCAATCTGCACTTACAATGAAATTGTATCCACAAACTGGCAGGCATTCCCCAGACTCTCACACCTTGCTTTTAACATATGGGCTGACTGACACAATCAGATCAAATGATTTTCCACTCTTTTTGCTGTATCCGCTAGGCAGCATTCCTCATTTAAGATTCCTGTAGTGAGACTGTATCTGCAACGATAGCTCAGAGTCTCATCTGGTGTAAATTATCAGAGTTCCAGCGAACTTCAATGGATTGATAATTCATACCAGCTGAAGTTGTGCATTTGAAAAGCCTGTAATGCAAAGCAGCTGCTATTATAACCAACCTGGAAAGTGGTAAGTGTCTGATATGTGCCTGAATCTAGCTGTCTTAGTAGCTGTTACTCATCTGCCAGGCGGCCACGGCATATGAGAGATTAGAGGCCTGTGCCCTGGTAACTGGCACTGTGTCCTGTGTTTATCATGAATGAGAGTTGAACAGAGACTACCAGAGTGGCTGACAGCAGCTGGGAGACCCAAAAGAGCCAGCCCTGTTTGAGCAAAGCCTGTGGGTTTGGCTCTGCTGGAACCGAGACTGTGAACAGTGCTCATCGTTACAGATGGTACTTGAGAGCAGCCACTTAGCTTTATCCCTTTAATGAGTTTTACTTTTTATTTCTATGTTCATCTTCAAACTAGATGAATATTACTCAGTATTTAGTATCCTTTTGGACTTGTAAAGAATATGATCATAAAGAGCATGGATCAACCATCTATGTCAAGAGTATGGTAAGAATTTGTACTTTTTTTTTTTTTGACTTTTAGAAAATATGATCTCTGACCTATTCCAGCCTGTGATATTGCCAATGAAGTGTCTGTCACTGTATGCTTCAAGAGAATGTGTCTTTTTTATTTATAGTTCTTGCTTCTGTGGACTACATTATGCTGTTCTGCCTGTGAGAACTGTTTGTACCGTAAAGCATGAAACTGTTTCCCCAATTACTTAAAACTGTATATACAGTTGGGCTCTTTCTTCTAGTAACAACAGCATATACATCTAAACAGCCCCTTTTCTACAAATCACTTTTTTTCTACAAATAGAAATTTCTGTAAGTCATTGGTCCAGGCAGGCTTTTTGCTCCTTGGTGGGGACATCTTTAGTGAACAGATGGTTGTGGCTGTGCTCAAAACCCCTCCTCAGTAGGTCAGTGAGAAAGAAAAGCTTCATTCCAACTTGTCCCTCAGAAATCACCACCTGTTTTGCAAAGGTGTTTATGTTTTGCAAAGATTTGCATCCATCTGGCCCCAAAGGTAATTCTTTCCCCATATACATGAATTAAAGCGTCGACAGATAACAAAATGCTACATTATAGGAAATGCTTGTTTCTCTTCTTTTCCTGCTGCCTAGAGGTCATTTTCTTAATCTCTAGAGCTCCATGTTTCCTGTGCTATGATTCCTTCTCCAAACTACTTTAAGAAATCTCTAGCTAGAGGTAAACCCTAAACCCCCCCCCATTTATGCTCTCGTTAAGGATATATGTTGGGGAGGGGAGAACATTTTTGCTTTTTCTTCCTTAATCAAATTCACTTAGGAAATATATGAACGAGTTATGACTCAGCAATGCAAAGAAACCAGCTCTACAGTTAGAGTGTTTATGATCGTAATTTGTGAGGGGTATTTTGACAATACGTGTCAGGTCCTAGTACAGGAGAGCGGCCTTGCTTAAGCGATCCTGGGTTTGTGGCTTTAGCAGCAGCATCACCTAGGGGTGCCTGGGACAGGCAGCAGAGACAACCTGCCCCTCGCAAGCCTTTTGGAGGTGCAAAGAGAGGCAGGACAGAACAACCCTGTTGACCTTAGGTAAACAAGCTACACTAAGTTCAGGAAAAATGTCCTTTTCTTTAGGTTGATGGCAAAACCTCAGCAAGAACCTCCCCAAAAGCAGCGATTTTCCCCTCTTCCCTGCCTCCCAGGGCCTAACCCTTGTCCCGTCCCCTTTGGCGGGACTCCTTCAGCGCAGTGCCAAGGGGAGAAGCCTCCTGTCCCGCCAAGCCTTGCAGCTCTGGCACTCGCGGCACACGAGGCTCCCTGCTCTCCCTGCTACCACTCTGCTCCCATCTAGGGCACCGGGCACGCAGGAATCATAGAGGGCAAGAGACAACTAAATGCATAGGGAACATCCATCCCAGGGCGCCTGCACCAAGCCTGGCATGTGCTTGAATTTTATATATTTTATTCTATATAAATTTGTTCTTCCCTTGGGGATATTGTAGATAACCTCAGTGCCTCTGCAGTAGCAGAGAGAGCACGGGAAGCGCAGCCAGCCTCCTCAGGAGACAACGCACCCGTTCGGCAGCGAGGCTTTGCTCCGGGCGCGTGGGCCTTCACGCGGAGCGGCACCTTGGCCGCTTGCTCAGTGTACGCGTGGGAATGCTCTCGCCGCTCACACAAGTCCAAACCATGGGGAAATCCTACTGAGCTCTCTGCTTCAGAAGCAAAGAGCTCTTTGCTCCCTCTCATTTTATAGAAGTGAATCCCAGCTGCTGAAACCTCTCTTGCATATGGCGCACATATATACAGCACGTTCCCTTTGTTAAGTTTTCCGTTTGTTGTCCTTTTGATTTCACAATGTGCCTCTTACTTCTTGTACCATGAAATACTAAATAAAAGAGGCCCATTTGTCTTCTCTGTATTTTTTTTACGCAGTACACAAATTGCTGTTGTATCTCAGATCTCCTTCTAAGCATCAAATTATTTTCTGTCTCTTTATACACAAGCACTGGATTTTAGTAATTTTAGAACCCTTACATTTCTATCAGACTTTTTCATCTCAATAGATTTTCTTTTTATATTTTTACTTTAAGGCAGGTAAAAAAAGAGTACTGAACATATTCTATCAGGTGAGGCTAGTCCTGCTCAGTAAAAAAGCATAAAACCTTCCACATATAATCCGACCAACACTCATAAAGCCTGCTCTTGTCTAGAGAGATGCTTTTACTGTTAGGGTCCACCTGACTTCAAGCAAGCAAAATTAAAGAGCATAACAGGAGAAATCAGCCTGAACTGACGTATACATCGATTCTTTAAATTAATTTCAAACTACATCTTCAGTTCTTAAAAATAATGAGTGTGAGAATAGCAGAATAAATAACACATTCTACACACACATTCAGATCGATTGAATTGTTAAACCCTTCCTGCAGAAAGTCATAATCAGCTAGAACATTCCAGCATATAAGAATATAAGGACTGACTTTTCTATTATTGATTATGCTGCTTTTTTCCCCCATAATACGACAGATTTGTGAGCACATGTAAATTTGTGTAGTTGTACTGCTCCGTGCTAACATTTAGCAATGCATACATATACATCGGAACCGGTACAATAAGTGAGCACATTTTGTAGAGGTAACAGTATTTCATTTGAATTTAAATGTCTTGTTTTGAATAAGCAGTTATATTATGGAGCTAAATCAGTCGGCTTAACAACAAAGGGCAGCCTGCCGATGAATTATGTATGTTATCTGCATTTGCTGCCTGCTCATAATTGACAGGTATCATGGCACCTTCCACAAACTTCCTGTAATTATATGCCACATATCAAACACCGACTTATGTGTAATGGTCCCCACACACACACACACAAAATGTTTTTATGTTTTATTTAGAGCTTATAGCATTTTTAATTTTTTTGTTTCTCACTCCATTTTCCAAGCTGTTTTGCCATTCAACAATAAGATTAAGAAGATTTCTTCAGCTTTAGTTTGTCAGTCTCTCAATCAAGCCTTCTTCTGTACTATTTATTTGTTTTATTTCAAACATTTAGTGAGGATAAACCAAAGAAAAAATTATTTGTAATTTTTTAAGAGCCGTAAATTGCTGCTTCAAGTCTTGTAGTGAAATAGATGGCTCAGCAAGTTCCTGTCCCAGTGCCTGATATATGTTAAACAATGCGTAGCTGCTTTAGGTAGTGACAGGCTGGAAAACCCAATGTCTTAGCAGAGCTGATTAAATAGCTGGTTCCTTCCTGGTAGTATGTATTTAATTGAGACTAACTAACTCCGCCAGAGCGAGGACACCTTAATTGGGCAGCTCCGCAACTGGACTCATTAGGTGCAGTGCCGAGTGATTAAATGTACCCACTACTGGGTATCTTAGCCCCTGATTCAGAATTACTTTTAATTCAGTGTTCTGCTCCTTGGAAAGAAATTAATTTTGCTGAGAATTATTTTATTAAACCTGTGATAAAGCTATAATTAAAAAGGAGGCTTTTAGTTACCTTGAAGGGCTTTTTACTTATATTGCCTTAAATACCTAAATTTATATTTTAATCTGAAAACCTACATTCGGTAAGTGATATGCCTGGCTTATGTAAAGAAACGGGACTAAGAGGTACTCGAGAAGAGTTCCTTACTCTCTACTATCTCATCCTTGACAGTCTACCAGAGAAAGTGTGTGAAATAAAGCCCAACATTCACAGAAAGCAGCAGTGAATAAAGACAATTAGATAAGTAGCTATTTTGTTCTCATTAATTTAGACCTTGTGTGTCAACTTTTTTAGAAACCAAAGCTTATATCCTCATCCCCTATAATTGACAAAGTTAAGTTTGGTGGTTCACACCTTAATGAAACAACTGATCTGATACATTACTTCTCAGTGAATTAAAATATGCTATTAAATATCTTCAACTGTGAAAATATGATACCTTGAAGCTCTGGTAAAAGGTGACAGCTTGTAAACAGAGATGTAAAAGGAATATAATCCAATACCACCAGTTAGTAACATATCTGCTCTTCACTGAATGAAAAACAGAAGTTCAGAAAGGGGGGGAAAAATGTTTTTTTTTTTTCTGTCAATCAGGCCTAATTTTTGGCAAAAGCATCCGGATTTGTAGACCTGGCTTGCTTGGAATAAGAACTCAAAAAAGATCTGCGTAGATAGACAAGGGCAAAAGCTGAGGGCAGATTTTTAGCAACAGTTGGCAATGTTTGTAAGAACAGTTATCAATGACCATACATGCATTTAGTTTCCAATAGCTTACCAGGCAGAGTAAAGCCAGCATTTACAGAAGCAGGGAGAAGCATTCTGCTGTGGGGCTGGAGGAGTGACTTTTGAATGGCTGCCCCACTTCTAGGGGCACATGATTCTGCAGAAAAAGATATTGCCTGAACTTTTAAAAAATGTACCTTTGGGCAGAAAGTTATGAGGCATTGCAAACACGATTTAAATAGAAATGATCACACTCCTCTCTTAATTGTTACTTTATGCTGTCACAAACATACCTAACACTTTTGAATGGGTTTTTGTTTTCTAGGTGCTGCTCATCCAGCTTATCCTGAAGCTGCTTTTCCCGGAAGTTCTCCCTCGTGCCAGGCGGCCAGCAGTTCTAGGGGGAGACGCTCACTGAACTCTCTGAGAGGACTCGGAACGGCAGCAGCAGGTTAGCACAGCAGACAGGCAGGGGTGCTTGGCGGGCACCATTTCCAGATCCAGAATGTACAGGGATTCATAGGAACTGCTCTTACAGAGAAAATGGCAAGTCAGAGACATTTCTGTATGTTGCCTTACACAGCCAAACAAAATAAGGACTGGGAGAAGCCTGGCTTAGTCTTGATAAAAACAAAATCCAAATGTCTCCCGCTCTGTATCCTTCTAACAAATAATCAAGCAAACATGCACAACAAAACAGGCTCAGTGATTCCTTTTCATCTTTTAATGGTCTCCTTGCCTGTCAATCTGCTTAGCTTCTTCTAATTTGTTTAGGGCTAAATACTACAACACTTTCTCACAGGAGTGGTACATATTTAGGCAAGTAAATAATCTTATGAAATTAACAGGACTACTCCTCTAATTAAGGGGTTCAAGACGAGACCTTGGCAAATACCTTTTCTTGTCTGCGAACATTCACATCCCAAGTGCTTACCCAAGAGGTTATTATTACATTATAGAGGTGTTATCTGATTTTTTTAGTGCGGGTGGGCCACATCCCCTCCTGTTGGAGCCCTTGCAGGCTCCAGCTCCCAGTCTTTCCATGTAATGTGGTCGGAACACAGTCTTTCACATACTCGCATACCACTGGAATAGACCTGTCACATCATGGCATGGATGGGTGCATTTCCAAGCAAATAATGGAAGAAACACAAAGCCCTTAGGAAAGAGAGTGGAATAGTTGCCAAAAAAATCCCCTGGCCAAGGAGATGGCCCTGGGAAGGAGCATCATGGAGCAGCCATGGGCTGAAACTCTTTGGATGGACTAGGTATGACGTGTGAGCCCTACGTGGGCACCCCCACACAAGGCCTGGTTCAGTTATGTTTGCAGTCACGGATCATAAGCCAGGAGGTTGTGCAAGTTCAGGCTCATTCTTCAGTCCCTGATCTTTTCATGCCCCTGGAAAAGCAGGTAGATAAAGAATCCATATTGCCAAACTACAAGTACTACAGCAAAATTGAGTTTTCCCTTACAAGTAAGCTGCAAATAGAGAGAATGCCTGTCTGCTAAATAAGCTCATGTGATAGAGAGGGCTGCTTTCCTCTCAGCTGCAAGTAGCTTCTGACAGGACTTACACCTATATCATTTTGTGGGTAGGTCTTCAAAGGGTGAATTGAAAACACACTGGCCTATACTTGCCCCTAGAGAATAACACATCATTTCTGCTTATTTTGGCACTTGAGTCTACCAACAAAAAGTCTCACAGTGGCAAAACAGGCTGTCATTCTGATAGCAGGCTGACTTGATTAATATAGTTGCAAAGCTTGTTTTGCAATACAAACCTTGTCAGACCAAATCCAAAATGATTTTCTTGGATAAATCCAATTACAATGTAAATACTGAATCAGGTCATATTTTCTGTAATTACCGAGCAGTTCGGTAAAAGGAGTCCTAAAGCCTGGCAATGTTCCCCCTGCAGCGACACTTTCTGGAATGTTCCAGGGCCTGGCAGAGGAGGCCAAGGGCAGGTTTGTGTGCAGAGCCACCAGCTCCAGGCTGGCGTGAAAGCAGCTCTGCTCCCTCAGCCCTGGCACTGCTCAGGTGGCAGAAAGGAGAGAGCACAGGCTGATGTCTAAAGGAAACGGGCACGTTACCTGTCCCCTGGTGTTCGTTTTAAGACCCTCTTTACCTGCACACTTTTCTGTCAGGTTGGTGAAGGCATCAGCACATTTTGCTCTTCACTGTTACTTAAGGCAGTGGCATTTTAACTTAGATTCTCATTTGTTGTATGCTTCTATTTCACTTAAAATAACTAAAATAAACATTTGTATTTTTGAAAAACGTCCATAGGCGTGTGCTGGAGGTTTGCTTTTCCTGCAGAGCTGGCAGTCACCCTTATTGATTCTGAGAAGTTTAAAGACAAAATGCCAAACCTTTTATACAACTCATTTTTTGGTTCGCTAGCCACTTAGATGTCTGCAGTAGCTTTTGTCATGTGGGGCCTGATTTTTAAGTTAGGGGCAGCTTTAAGTGTTCACTTAATTCAAAATGGGGACCATGCTTTCCCATTCCAGTTTTTCCTGTTTAAAATAACAGGGCACCTTCGTGGGCAGACATTGCGCACGGCGACTACCCCAAGGGCCCTGTTGAAGCGCAGGAGCAAGCGCAGCGGTGGAAGCTGCTTCAAGGAAGCCTTTCTTGCTCTAAAAATAAGTTGGTGGAAACTGAAAGTTTCACAGGAATGTAACAGTTTGGACAACAGAGAAGGAACAAAATGCTGTGAGATGTCTCTAGGCCGGGGTCACCGCAGCGGTGAGAAGGGAAGAGCCCTGGAGGTCCCTAGCAGGGAGAAAAGGGGCTTGGCGCATCCTGGGCCCAGGCCCTGGCTCCGCTCAGGCGCTGCCCTGGAGGCAGCCGGGAGCAGCCTCCGCGGGAGGCTGCCCATGGGGCTGCCCTCACCCCGTGCAGCAGCAGCCCTGGAGCAGGGCCAGGGCTTCACACGGGATCTGCTCTAGCGTGGGACAGGGTACAAGCGAAGAACCTCGTAACATTTGTCATGGTGAAATTGTTGCTTTCCAGTCATGCCCGTTCCTCACTAGGACAAAGATATTTACAGGCCATTGACCATCCTGAGCATTTTCTGGAGCTCCCCAAGTCCTGTCAGCTCTCGCGTGTATCTTTAGTACTATTTCTCACTTCAACATAACAAAGAGAGAAAAAAATCCTCTATTCCCCACATGTTTCCACCCACGCCAATAAATGTCCTTGTGCTGATGATGCTTAAACTAGGAATTTATGTATCATTATATTTCAAAGATGCACTTTGAGTATTTACATGTTACAACTTCCTGAGTAATACAGACTGTACTTGTCTAGAGCTGTTTCTGCAGTACATTTTTTCAACACCCAATTACTACGTGTTTGCCTCAAGATAATCTGTGGAAAATTTCGTGAGAACTGCATTAGCCCTGATTTCTACAAGATGTTATCAGAACCAAAACAAAAATCCATTAAATAAATATACAATAACTCTGTGCCAGTACTGCGTCCCACTCCGGGTTCTACGTGATGCACAAGTTTCACATTTCTACTCCATCCCTACCCATCATATTCATCGACAGTCTCAAGATCCATATTTAAAACTCTGTAAAATTATATTAAAACACTTGTGTCAGACATCGAAAATCTCAAAACTTTTTTTGACCAAAGGAATGGAGGGAAAAATTAATAAAATTAATGAAATGAAAAGCATCAAATCAATTGTTGTATTTCTTTACCTGTGACACCATGGATTAAAATAGCATCACAGCTTTCAGAGGAGACACTGTGTGGACAGTCTCTGCTTCCTTGACACTTTTCAGATTTATTGTAAGTTTTTACTTTAGAATGCATGAAAGGAAGGAGATGAGACAACTTGAACCATTAAAATATTTGAAAAAAATACTGCTCTTTTGGCAACAGGGGTAACAAGGTTGTGTTTGGCAGGGACACCTGCAAGTGAAACTAACTGTTGTGTTTCACTGTGCAAGTCAGATGAGCAGAGCCAGGAAACAGCAACCCTGCAGGGAGTGGCAGCAGGGCCACTTTGACATAATCTCAGTATCCTCTTTAAAACTTCACCGGCCTGCTGCAGGAGCCATCGAGAGGGTTTTATAGAAAGGAGGGAGCCCAGCAGGGTAGTTTCAGCCTGACTTCATTCAAATTTGAGCTAGAAGCTCAAAACAGAAGTTGCATGTGTACGGCAAGTAAGTATTTTGCCAACAATATTCATCTTCTGGATAGGCCAGCTGAAGGTCTGGAACATTCTGAGTAATACAAACAGGTCCTAATTGAACCTGTAATTATGAGTGAAGCTGTAACAGGTACTGCCTAACAGTGAGAGGTGATAACAGCTAGGCAGGTGAGGAGGCTGTGTGTCCTGTAAACCTGGCTCATTCTCTTTTCTCCTTTACTTCCTTCTGCTAAAAATGTTGGCCCATGTCATAAATCCAGAGCATGTGGGGAGAGGAACTGGTATTTTAATGTGGATTTGTGCAGTCTGTGTAGTGCAGGTTGGATTCTCACCCATTGCTTCCATTATATCACAAAACACTATAAAACCACTGGGGCTAGATTGCAATTTCGCTTGAGAAAGGGCCCCTGGATGTAGCCAGTGCCACAGCCTTTATAGCCTCGCACAGAAAGATCTGCAAAGTGCTGCAGAATAAACATCCATATGCAATAGAATTATCTTCCTTCTCTTTTCAGCTAGAGATTTTTGAAGACATTAAGCACTCCACACACTTTACAAAAATATATATATATTATAAAATAAATGCTCTGTATCTTTTCTGTGGAGAGGAGGAAAGCACTTTTTTTTTTTTTAGTATTAATAAAGGCAAGTTAAATCATCCCAGAATTTAAATTCTTTGCAGTTTCAGTACTGCCTGCTTTGCTTGTATGCATGCTTTACATACATGCTTTAAGCACCATCTTCTGCCAACACTGCAATGTTATTAGAAAAGCTCGTATACTCTGTTTTCAGCGAAAATAATGGTTTGGTTATTTCCGCATCACTGAAATCTGAGACCTAGCATATATGTACCTTCAATAAACATATTATTTAAATACACCTGTTCTGATCTGAATTGTATCAACATACAGAGTTTCAGCTGTTGTGTACAAGTTTAGCAACATTTGAGCAGCAAGATGTAGGCTAAATCACCAAATCGTTTCTATTGGTGAACAATCAATGCCTAATTCACAGAAATGCCTGAGTTTTTCTGTAGATAAGTTTGTGACTTGAGTGACTGGTGGGCCGTCCTGAGAGCTGAGAATCAGTAGATCGATACCATTAGTCTGCCAAGGTCTGGGATCGGACTTTTCTTTTCCTCCTGACAAGAGCAAAGAAAGGAGGCCTGAATAACCCCAGGTCAGTACCAGCTTCATCAGTCCTGAAAAACACATTTTATAAAGAAAGATGCACAAAGTGGTTAAATGCTGATGTCAGAAGAACTCTTAGCATGCTTCCTACGACCTGCTGTCATCAGAAGGGTTTCCTGTTTAATAGATGGGTGGTGGTTGCCTTGTGCTAGATTCCAGGCCCATCTCATCGTAGGGTGTTGAAACAACATGGATATTAAGCAGATATAGGATGTTTCTTACCTTACAGAGGCAAGTGACTCAGTCTTTTGTGCCTCTTGCATAAATACGTGTGTACATTCGTGAGTGTATTTATAGTCACAAAGCTTATATCTGCTCCTTTTCTTAAATATGAAGACACTGACATCCACCAAGCTGTGTAATATAATATTAAACTAACAGGTGAGTTTGCTGTACATGAGAAATGAGTAAATCCTGTCTCAAATAGAAAGATTTCAATCCATTTCTTATTCTGCCACTTGGTGTTACCTTTCTGCATCCCTGGTCTGTCCACCAGTGGGATGCAAAACAAGGTATCCAGGGATCAAGGTCTTCTCCAGAAGACCAAGGGCACAAGCGCTGGGAAATGGAAATAAAGCCCCTTCCGTGCAGGGGCAGGCTGGGCACCCGCGCTCACTCCCTCTGCTGGTGTGCCCGGCGGCGCAGCGGGCACCGGCCCTGGCTACTTCACCCTCGCAGCTCTGCGTGCAGGGCTGCGCCTCTCCGGCCTGCCCTTGCACTCAAAGCCGGCCCTGCGTTCCCTGGGCTCCCGCCAGACGCGCGGCGCAGCTGCAGAGGAAGCGGCTGCATCGCTTTCCCGGGGCAGCCTTTGCTCAAGTACAAACACCAGGGGCCACGCAAGTTGCAGCACTGGTTTGTATTTGCACAGCAATTGCTTCCGTAAATTACAGTGCATGAGTAAGCGGGAGGGGAATGGAGAGAGGGCTCCCTGACTAGGTTGAAAGCTTTCCATCGCCTGTGAAACTGCGGGCCTGGCCTTGCCACACCAGAGTGTGACAGGGAATTACTTTGCATTATCAGTCAGTTTGATGAGGTCCCCACATCCCCAGTTACTGTCAGAGCACTCGAAGTCAAGGAGCAGCTGGTTGCATCCAGACTGGGAATACCAACATTCCCTATTTCCCACTATTTCCTCTGCACTCATCACTAAATCTGCACTAATTGTCTTTAGAACCAATGCTTATGATTGTGAGAAATGGCTTAAAGAAGCCACTAAGGCTAATATTTTCTTAAGCAGAGATAGGAAGATGTCCTAAATAAAAATAAGATGATCTTCAGATTGCCTCTGTTATTGGGCAGGGAACAGAAGAGCTGGGAGGAGAGGCTGGGAAAAAGATGCGGGAGCTGCATCTGAAGGCTTCCGTTTCTCACTGCCACTTGGTCATTGCTGAGGCTTGGGGTGATCAAAGCCCGTTTGGGGCTAGAGCCGAGGGCGGCTCCTGGCACTCCCAGGGAACGACTGCAGCTTGAAGGCATCCCTGAAGAGACTTTCAGCTGAAGCTTTGGCCCAACATTCTTGGCACTATAAATCATGGTAGACAATACAAACTTAGTGTCACCAAAAATGGCAAAAAGGGTCATATCGCAGGAGAGAGGCCTTGGCTGATCATTCAGTATTTCCCCTTAGAATATTTTCAAAATTATTTTCAGTAGCATTTTGCCTGTTTGTTTGAGTGCACTGTTTTACTTCCCTCTAGAGCTCCTAATGTTCTGCATCTCCAAATGCCTCTCAGACGCTGAACAAAGTGTAGCATACATCACAAACAGTGACCTTTGAATGTTCTCTCTTGTCACTGCTTCTCTTTCTCTCCAGCCTGCATTAATCTCTGCTCCTCTTTTGATACTCTTCTGTTACGAGACTTAAAGTGCTCCTGCTACCTTGCTGTGCAGGGAGGCTGAGCAGGGGACTCAAGGAAGGATTAACAGCTCTGCAGTGAAGATGAACATAAGCAGGGAGCGGGGTGGGGAGCAATGAAGAGGAGGAGGAGACGTAACAAGAGGCGGGCACACGGACCAGCCGCTTGCCGCTGCTGAGCGCTGAGCCCTCGCGTGAGCAGCAGCAGCAGGTTCCACTGCGCGAGCTGGGCCGGCCGAGAGCGCCGGCGACTCCGGCGCCCTGAATTCCCAGGACTCCCAGAATGTCACTGTTTGGCTTCTCAATCCCGTCACTGGGTGTCCTTCCTGAGCATGGACATTCAGACGCATCTAAGGAAACCTAAACAAAACTGCTACCACCTACTGAAAAGTCACCCTCTCAGGTTGACATGGAAGTGTTAAACTGTTGACTTGCTTAGAAAACTAGAGATGCACTGAAAACGCATTTGGGCTTAATTATAGCATTCCTGTTACAATGGTCAAATCTCAGATTCACACCAAAACACCAAACTTGGTATCTTTTAAATTTTTCTTACAAAATAAACCTCTGAAATGTTTTTCTCTTATCTGTTGCTGAGGATAGTGTGTGATCACCA